TGTTAACGTATTATTTGACAATGTGAAAAATTGATTTCGTCTTCAAAGTGGGGTGAAAACAGTTATTTTCTCTATATAAAACACCCGTTGTAAACAAACAGAGTGTATTGGAAAAGTGAAAAACACCTCTTGTAATCAAAGAGATTGTTTTGGAAAGTGATTATGAAACCAATTAATGTTTCTTGTTTTTCAAAATTAACCAAAAGAATGAAAAAAATCTTGTCCTGGAAATTGAAAATTGAGATTTAGGGTTACTCGAGCCAATAAACGAACCTACTTGACTCGTTAATAAAAAAACATAAACACAATCTCGAGCTCAACTCATGTGAACTCCATCCATCTATGCTTGGCCCATGTAGTTTACCACAAACCCAAGGTTAACCTTTAATTGAGGTTGGTATTCGCAATCTAACTCGTTTCGACTAACAACTCTTAATGAGGGGACACAAGTTTTCAGATCTCAAAGTACTGTTAGATTTCGAATCTAAGATTTGTTTCATTTGCACCACATTCCATAACAAACAAGCAACAACTAACTAGTGTTTACCAGGTGCAAAATTGAGCAGCTCTATAAGGCAGCCCAGCCCAATTCTTGAATTATCTACGAACTAAAATCGAGAATGTTAAAAATATCACTAAGAATAAGATAACATTCCTGCATGACTAAACTTAAATACTACAAAATTACATTACATATAGCCAAGAAAAGACAGACAGAAAAAGGTAGCTGCAAGTTCAACATTTTCTGTTTCAGAACAAGGGGAAAAGGGTATTACAAACCAGCCAGAACTAATTCGTAGCTGCAACTTCAACATTTTCTGTTTCAAACCCTTTGCTCGAAACCTCCGAAAATTCCGGAGCTTTTGGAATGAGACCAAGCAGCTTGAACATCATCTGATCTGCATCAAAGTCATTGTTAGGGGTCGTCAGCAGCTTCTCACCAGTGAAAATTGAATTTGCACCAGCAAGAAAGCAAAGCGCCTGCTCGGGCATGGAAAAACGAACTCTGCCAGCCGAAAGCCTGACCATAGCTTTTGGCATTATAATACGAGCTGTGGCAATCATTCTGATCATCTCCCATATTTCAACAGGCTGCAAGAGAGAAGCATTATGAAAAGTTGTGGTGGAGCACCTATAATTGACAGCATACACCTTGTT